AGAAAGAGAAAAAGAGAGAGAGAGTGAGCTGATATCTCGTCTCACACTGTTTTCACTGCTTGATCCATCGTGGCTGCCTGATTTCTGAAGCAGTTGATGTTCCCGTCTGTGTAAAGACACTAAAAGCAAACAAAGAATTTAAAAGCTTGAAAACTATTCAATATTATCAGATTTGATTGAAAATGGTCTTTAGAGTATTTTATATTTTCACTTTTAATGGTACAACAGAAGAAAAAAAAAATCGACATGTTTGTCAAACTGTTAACGCTAAACCTTTCTCTTGAATTTTAGCGACGTTTAGCGAACGGCCGGTTGTCGTAGCAGCAGTGAAAACACTTTTTTTAAAGACTCACGTGCAGTTTTGGCGTTTTGATGCTGAGATCGCTGAAGGCGTCCCCCAGGGTCTTCTGGGTGACTGTGAACTGAGCGAGCTGATTGGCCAGCGTCTGAGCCAGCTTGGTCACGTTTTCGTAGCGTTGTCGGTCGTCTTTGAGCAGCTCGAGCCGAGGCCCCAGGTCCAGATCCACCGTACGAGATCCACGACCGAGCTTCTCCGACAGAGCCTGCCTGGTGCACTGCGGGGAGAGAGAGTGTCGCTATTGATCAGACTGACGGTTATTGATTATATCGGTTACCGACGAACAGCAACAGAAAGTCCGGTCTCACCTTATAGGTGGTGATGCTCCACTTGCGGACTCTCTGCAGCTTCTCACTGGCTGGGTTCTTGTTGTTGCCTTGAACAACCACAGGTCCACCTCCTGGTTGCTGTGGGGTCGCTGGGGGGTCTGGAGGTGAGGTCAAAGGTCAGCGGAGGGTTATCGGGATGAATAAATATATGAATGCACGTTAAAAATACATGTTAGCTAATGCAAACAATCAAATCCACACTTGTACTCCGTCACTACCTTTGCTCGGCCCAGTTTCCATGGTGACCTCTGACATGGCCTCAGCTGGACAGGAAGTGACGGTGTCGTCGGTGTGGTTGCAGTTACTGTTTGTTTCCTGTAAAGAAACATGAGTTGAAAGGCGTCGGATGCTTCTTTTCTGCGTTTAGTTCATAACTCCAAAAACATCAACAACAGAAGAAAGGTGAGTTAAATTTTCCTGTAAAAACTCAAAAAAACTCATTCGTTTCATTCCTAGTAACTCGCTGTACACGACTATTTGTTTCTTTTATTTCCAGTTCATCACCACACTAACCTCAAACTGACAATTAGTCTCGTGTTTTTATGCCTTTCTTCGTTATCTGTGATGCAAAAACACATTAAAAACAATAAATCTCGCACCACAGAGCATCTCTCCTGCCGGGCTGCTGCAGCTGAATCATCAAGTTTTTGGGGGCAGAATAAATCATCAGTTGATAATGAAATATTCATATTATGTGTTATCCCAATAATTAAATTATAGCTGAAATTATCAGCTATAATAATATAATTAATTCTTAAAACGTTTGATAGTCTTTTAAGGTTTTTGTTGACCTTAAAATGACCATTTTAACAACAGTGTCGTCAGTTATATTCTCAACCTTTCTAACCATTAAGTGTGTAAAAACTGCAGTTGATGAACTTTTTAAAACGCAAAAATGTGAAATAATCGATTATAGTATCGGCCGAAAGAACTGGAGATCGTTCAATCGTTTGCATCGTCTGTTTTTGACTGGATCTGACTGTCCTTGGGTCCCTTTTAGATTCGGGTTTTCTTATACTGATACATAAAAAGCCGATAACCAGATCAGCTTTAGGGGTTTTCTAGCCAGTTTCTATGCTGGAATTTCACATTTCCAACAGTCCTTGAATGCAGCACGAGCCTCACTTCCTAGAACAGGAAGGTCGGCAGCGACCGACAGCAAAGAGGTCAGAGGTCGGAAGTCGAAGCACCGGGATGACACTTGGGATCACCGTGGGAACCGGGGGTGCCTTACGGGGGCCAATCAGAACCCAGATCAAAAGGTTGCGAGGTTGCCACGGAGATGAGGCTCCCCGTTGCGATTGGCGTGCAGGCAAAGAGGTCGGAGGTCACCCGGAGCACTCAAGACAGGAAATAGCCACCTGATGCAGATGAGAGGTAACGACACACACACACACACACACATACAGAGGTACACACTATACTGGAGTCACAGCACATTAACGCTTCAATTAATTCAACGCTTTACATTCTCATTTCCCCAGAAGTCAAGATCCCGGACCACCCCCTCCTCAAACCTCACACACACACACACAAACATACACCCACACACACACCAGAGATGTATGGTGCCCTGTGCCGTGCCTCATCAGACCCCAGCAGTATTACATGCTCCTTGTGACATTTTAGGTGCCGGAGAGAAAGCGACAAACAAAAGCATCATGAATTACATTTTAATTTGTGTTCTTTGCCTTTCATCCAGCTATGTACAAAGGAATGGAGATGCCTGGTTTTGTACCATATTCTTTATTCAAGGAGTACAATAGATAATGAATTCATGTTGGGAGAAAGGGAGTGGGCTCTTAGTTTTGCTGGGGGGTTTGTTAGCTACACTTCCCTGTGGAACGACTCCACTGACTTCCACACTCACTGTGAGACTACAACAAAGTTAGAGAAAGAAATAGACAGAGACGGGAATGGAAAGATATTTTCCTTAGAGGATTTCCTCTTTATATTTCTCCCCCTCTTTTTTCTCTTTGTCTCTCTCTCGCTTTCTCTGCATCTGTGCTTTTCTGTGGCTGCTCACTAATAAATTTTTAACCGTCCCATGATTCTCCCCTTTGTCTCTCCCTTACTCTTTCTGTTTGTAAAGATTAACCACAATTCAATATCCATCATTAGCTTTTGTCTTCACTGCACCTAATTCACAGTGATGTTTCACAGTGCGGTAACTTATTGTGCGGCAGAAGCTTTGCAGCAGAAGCTTTGCGGCAGTTCTCGGTCATGTAGAAGTGAACACAGCCTGTTTGACCCTGTCTCGTTTTTGAAAGACAAGGCACTCAGTTCTTTGTAGGCGATGGTAGGGCTTCCCTGTGTGCCAGACAGCTGTTAAAGCAAATGAAACAGGGAGGGAGAGGGGCTAAGTCTGGCATCTATGTCCGGGACACAAGAGCTGTCCCTGGGCTGGAACCACACCACAAACAGCCTCCCCAGAGCATGTGGTGCCTGGCTCATACAGCTCAGAGGAGCGTGTAGGTGCCCAGATGCTGCTGCATTCAGCCTGCTGAGCTCACACTCTGACGCACACTGACATACATACACCTCCGCATGCATTTTCACTCATTTACAAACTTGTGTGTCTCAGCTCATGGCTCTCAGCACTTGAGTGTCGCACTCAAGCACTTTTGTGATCACAGAATGGAGTTTTATATGGTTTCATGGGTCATGAAGTCTGCTCAACTCATAAACCAAGTTAAGTTTCAATTAAGGTAGAAACATAAAAATGATGAAAATGGGATTCGTTTTTTTTTCGTGCGACATTAAAGCAACAATGGAAAACCTCTCAGGCTTCAGTTTAAGTGTGTGTTTTTTAGATTTTTGCTTACTGTTTTCTACCTGTAACTGATCTCTTACACAATGTGTTTCAGGTAGAGCACATTTTGTGCTAACCCAAAACCAAACTGATTAAATTATGCAATTTCTTTATTCCTCTGCAGACAGACTTGTTATAAACAGACTAATAGACAAAATATTTATGTATGAGAGGAAAATGAGCATTAAAGAGAAGCAGCTCAGAGGAGGTTAAGGCTGAGGTGAGTAATAACTGAAGCTCCTCAATGTCAATAGTGCTGCAGAGCTGTAAGTGGCCATTTCACTTCTCAGCCTTGGTCATTTATCCTACGCGACTCGTCAACACTCTAGTGTATGAACACATACATACTTGTGCACATGTAAAAACTTGGACATGCACTGCTGGCCTCTTCTCCTATCACACTACCTCTGACTATACGCATTTCACTCACACTTTATGGGCCCTTCTCACTTTGCCATGCCTTTACAGAGGTGAGGGAAGCAGACTGATTGCAGTCTGTCATATTTCCAGTCAGTTTCTCTGTAGGTCATTTTTTGGACCTGCTGTGCTGAGGTCAGTCGCTTTGACTGCTACAGCCACCACTGTGAGCGAGAGTGGGGGTATGAACAGAACTAATGCATTTAAAACTAGGTCACACTCAGTAGAGAGTATGTTATACCAGCAATGATTATCAGAAATGTAATAATTTCTTCCTTCTTCCAGGTCTCATTGCCAACTACTGTATTTCACTTATTAAGATCCATTCATTATCATGCTTGTACCTGAAATGGGACATGAAGCATACTTTTAGGCCCTTAAGCCCATCAAATATTTTGCTACATCATTAGGGCCAGCTTCATACCATTGCACTAAAGGTTTTAGAGGTTTGTAGAGTGAATACACCATTTTAACTGCATCAATTTGTGGTTTCATTGGACAAGTTTGCACCCTAATTGCTAAATAAAACCTAAGTTTGATCATGTAAGAATCCTGTCATAGCAAAAGAGTCTTGTGACATATCATACCTATAGGTCAGTGCTGCTAATCAATTAACCAACAACATTTATACAGTTTTCCTTTCTAAAAGTTTATTGGAATAATGACAAAGATGCTATTTACTTTCAGAGGTGAAGGTGATCAGAATCTATAAGCAGTGATCCATTCGTGGAACCAACATTTCGTTCGGGTCTGTAACATTTTTTAAGAGTAGGCAGTTATCACATTTACAGTATTCTGACCAGTTCCTAATGGTAAAGTTAATAATAATTGCTGAAATTATGATTATGTACTGTATTCACAAATAGAAAAATGCAGAAATACACAGTTTCACTAAAACATTTCTATATAATGTGGTTAACACCACAATCAACACCTTCGTAATGACCCAACATAAAGTATATGCTCCAGTATTTTCATTTTTAACACTTTTAAATGTTGTTTACTGGCAGTTGTGTAAGAGGATTTGACCCGCAAACACATAAATACACATTAGGAATAAAGATAAAATGAATCAGTCGTCACTTAACCAATGGGAATTTTCGGCTCAAATCAGCCCACACCTAGTTAGCATGGCTTTGTGCTTTAGATTGAGCTGTAAGCTTTAGCGCTAGTAAGGATATATTTATTAGACAAGCATTTACAGAAAATAAAATACAGCAGTACCACTTATTTTATGAAAACCTCAAGTAGCTTAAAGCAGCATTAAGCAATTTTTGACTACTAGTGGATAAAAAACCCCAAAACAAACCTCACAGTAAGGAGCTTTGATAATGTATCAGCTTATCAAGTTCTTATGGCTAAGCCTGTGGCTGTGAGCAAACAATTGCCTACTTATCCAGCAGGAACAGAGCAACATGAACATCCCATTAGAGTCCTCCTTCTCTCCTCCTTTTCAAGTCTAAAATTTACTGGTGTTATGTTGTTGGCGTGACCCATTAACTGCTGAATAAGTGGGTGTCTGGCTTACTATTAGTTTGTCTCTTTGGCTGCTTGTTCCCTTCGGCTTGCCACCGTTTCACACTGATCATAGTCAAGAACAAGCTTGTGTAAGCTGTGATGGAAGTGTTGGTTTTAAATGAACTGGCACAGTATTGTGTGTTCAATTTGTGAAGAACTGCAGATTTGGGTGTTGACTCTCAGTGGGATTGGTAGGACAGTCAAACCTTTAATCTAACAGGGAGTCATTATTTAGCATGAACTTAAAAACTATCTTTAGCATACAAACCAGGCACTGAAGGCTAAATTTAATAGATAGGTATTATCAATAAATATGGATTCGGGAGGATCCATCTTGTGTTTTTGTGGGTGGGTGGTCAGGCCTTCAGTCAGGGGTCCTCTTTAAGGACGACTGGAGGATTCAATCACCTGCTCTTAGGTCATTTGTGCTCCTTGATCGAGTTCCACTGAGCATCTACTAGACTGACACACTCTACTGGGCTGCTTGAGTTACACACTCTAACACACACACACACTCAGGCACACAGACTCAAATGATGAAGAGGACATATAACTGAAGGGTAAATTATTTTTTTCATCATAATAGTGGTTTTGATAGCCCCCATATCCTAAAGCCATGACCTATCTCTACCTCTTCTCTCTCTCTCTCT